GTTATTACAGGTTGCAATATTTCTGCTATTTCACTATCACCTTATCAGGTCGAGCAAGTTGTAACTGTCACTCAGGTTCATGGGGATCATGTTGTGCAATAGCCTACACCTGTCCAACCAACTTTGGAACAATCTATTGATCAAATGAGTCAATCAACGGATGAGGAATGACAGGTCTACACATCGAGGAGGAGGAAGAAGAATGGAGACCTACTTGAGCTCAGGAATCTGATGGATGATACTTTGGTTACTTTGAGGAATGGCACTCATCTTACTAATTTGTTAGCAGGTTCAATTCCAAGAACTAGATGCAGAGGGAGGACTAAAGTGGGACATCCCTAGCACTTTTGCGCCCCTTTGTGGCTTTTTTGTTTTTTATATTTATATGTCTTTGCTTTATTTGGGTTTTGTGTGTGTTTTATTGTGTGAGTTGAGTTTTCTTTTAAGCTATCTCATACAACATTTCTATATTTTTTTCCGTTTTCAATATATATATATATATATATGAAATTGCTTAAATGGAACCCCAATTTTGATCCCAGTCAAGAATCCCTAATTGCACCTATCTGGTTCTCATTACCTGAACTCAAGCTTCATTTCTTTGATCTACCTATCTTATATGCAATTGAAACTATCCTTGGAAAACATCTGCAGATAGATTTACCTACAGTTCATTTCTCAAGACTCAATTACAGAGATTTCGATTGAACGAGATATTACACTACCGGATGTAGAAAAAGTCTGGTTTGGATCTGCTCACAATGGTTATTGGCAAAAAAACATTATGAAAAATTATTATGGAACAAAAATCATACTACTGCAAGCAATGCAAGATATTTGGACACCCGCAGGAGATGTTTCAAATTGCACCCACAGTTGAGAACCAATAGTCAAAAGCAGGAACACATTGTTAGCGCACCTCGTGTGCCTGAACGAGCTCCCAACAAACTTGATGACAGCCAACCTCAGGAGGGAAACACCACAAGACAAAAGTTGGTGTCTGCATCTAGGATCCCTTCTCCTGACCATACTACAATGGATAATGTTCGAACTGAAAATCAGGATATACCCGCAGCTATTCAGGAAGCATCAGGTGCAGAGGTAACAATTCACAGTTCACATACACTGGAATTATCGTGGTGGCAACAAATGTCTTTCCTCCTATTGCGGTTCAAACATCAAATCAGATCGATGATCAAATGAACCAGTCTTCAGATGAAGAATGGCAGGTTTACACTTCTCGGCGGAAGAAGAAGCCTGCGGGCTCACTCCAACTTGAAAACTTACTGGATGATACTTTGGTGACTCCTGACAATAGCACGACTCTTCAAAGCTTGTTATCTGGTTCCGCTCCTAAAACTAGAGGAGGAGGCAGGACTAACCTGGCTCTTCCCTAGCTACTGTTGTCTGCATGTTTTAAATTTGTTTTTTTATTTTTTTGAGTCTATCTGTACCTTTTGTTGGAGTTTTTATGTACTTGTATAGTATGGGTAGGGTGCCTCTTTGGACTCTTCTCATACAACATTTATGTATCATTTTCTATTTCAATAAAATCAGCCCTTGGGCTTTTCATAAAAAAACATATATATATATATATATATATATATATATATGTAAGAATTGTGTATTTTTATCATCCAACCAACCATTCCCACCTTGAAATTTTCAAGCTCTCGGTCAAATTGTTGTAATATATTGAGTGTTGGATGAGATGTTAAATAATATTTTACACAGCTTTTAGCATAAAATATACCCATTACATATATATACATATATATACATATATATGTATATATATGTACATATAGATATACATATATATGTATATATGTATATATGTACAGATTATGTTTTAAAATGGATAGAAGCGATCACTTTACCTAGATATGATGCTCGGACGGTTTCTAAATTTTAATTAAAAAGTCGAACACGAACGAACAAGTTCGTGTTCGGGCCGTTTATATATCGAGCACAAAAAATTGTTTGTGTTTAGCTCGTTAACATAGAGAACGAATCGAACACAAGTTTCTTAAAGAGTCGAACACGAGTTGTTCGCGAGTAACGAGCCGTTTTGACAGCCCTACTCCGAAGCGTCTATTGTCCGCTTCATTGGATCCCAACCCAAGCCCGTGAATCCCCTTTTTAGTTCCTTTCATAATTTTCAATCATTCTTTAGTTGATTTCACTTAGTCTTAAATTTCAACCCATCGTAATCTCTTCCTGTCATTTCCTTGAATTTTTTCATAAGATTTTGTCATCTTTCTTTGTTAAAATAGGTAGTAGAACTATTTCTCAGCTCGAGCTCCCTGAGACAGATGTTGCAAAATATAATAGTGATTCCTTATTCCACATAGCTAATGATCTGACTTCTTTGGTCTTACATATTGCATTACTAACAATTAAAAGACAATATATTAATATTTTAAATAAAGCAGAAAACAGACAAAAGCCACAAAACCACCAATCAACCCCCAAAACAGCCACCATGCAACACCTAATACTACCACCAATCAAACCCCACCATAGCCACCACCCCCCATCACAGCCGCAAACCAGTCATAGAGATGACCACAACCACAATACAGAGCACACACCATAGCCAACCACAACACAGAGCACACACAGCTCCAACACAACCACATATCAGCTCCATCACAACCACAAACCACTCCTAACACAGCCACAACACAAGCCCAACATAGTCACAATCTGGCCCCCAACACAGGCCCAACACAGCCACAACCACAATGCACACCTAACACACACACCTACAGCCTCAACACATCCCCAACACAGCCACAACCACAATGCACACCCAACACACACACCCACAGCCTTAACACAGCCCCAACACAGTCCACAACACAATCTCAACAGACACCCAACAACAGACACCCAACACACACAGGCACAGCCACAACATAGCACCCATCCAACCCCTCCACCCAACACAGTCCAACACAACCTCAACACACACACACAATAACAAACACCCAACATACACAGCCCCCATCACAACCACAGCCACAGCCACAACATAGCACCCAACCAGCCCCTCCACCTCATCACATTCACATCCACAGCCACAACACACAGAACATCCAACCACAGCCCAGCATAACCACAACACATATAGCACCCAAGGCCAACCGCAACCCACATCAGAGTAAAGCAATCAACACAGCCCCAACACAGCACGCAGCCATAGCCTGAAGCCTTTTTCAGAAATATGCTCGAAAGACTTTTTCAAACCAAATTTTGAAATTGAGGGGGTGATTAAGAAAATATATAAGGAAATTTATGAAAAAGAAGCTGCCTAATACTTCATTTTCCTTGCACCTTTCTCATCTCTAACAATTTTCATTCTTGTGCAATTAACCGACAATAAAATTCTAATGCAATTAACATCTCCTCCCTCCATCATTAATTAACTATTCGATATTAGTAATATTTAATGTTTCGTTGTTAGCTTTGAAAGAATCTTCCTCCCACTAAACTCATTCCAGCCTTAAAACAATCCCAAGACAGCCATAACACACCCACCCACAACCTCAACACAGCCCTAACACACACTCAAAACACACAGATCCCATCACAGCCATAGCTACAACACAGTACCCAACCAACCCCTTCTCATCATCACATTCACATCCACAGCCACAGCACAGAGAGCACCCAACCACAGCTAAACACAACAAGGACACATAGAGCACTCAAGGTCAACCACAACCCACATCACAGTAAGGAAATCAACACAGCCCCAACACAACGCACACCCACAACCTCAAAACAGTTCCAACACAGCCACAACCCCAACACACGCCCAACACACGCCCACAGCATTAACACAGCCCCAACACAGCCTCAGCACAATCCCAACACAACACGCACCCACAGCCTCAACGCACACCCAACAACACACACCCAACACACACAACCCCCATCATAGCCACAGCCACAACACAGCACCCAACCAACCCCTCCTCATCACATTCACATGCACAGCCAAAACACACAGAGCACACAACCACAGTCCAACACAGCCACAACCTCAGCACATCCACAGCCACAACACACAAAGGACGCAACACAGCCACAACTACAGCCACAACACACACACCCACAGTCTCAGCACAACCACAGACACAAAAACAGAGCAGCCAACCTTATATATGTTGAAAACTACAACACAGAGCACTCAAGGCGAACCACATCACAGTAAGACAATCCATCAAAAAACTTTCACCCATTTCCCAAATTATCAAAAAAATCGAAAAAATGCGTGAGGAAAGTCATTTCATCGAAAGACCGCAAAGAGATTACCTATAGAGAAGGCATTCGATCGAAATAACTTACAACGCACAGTAATTGAGGTCGAAATGAGGAGATGAAAGGTGAGCGAGGAGCACTCGATTGAGAGAGAAGAGCGAGTCGTCACCTAGGGCGGAATGGGGGACGAGCGAGGAACGAAGGGCAAGCAGGTAAACATTCGAGGAAAGAACGCGGGTCGTGGGGTTGATCCCGCGGCCATGTGTAATAAACAACCCTTATCGTGTTTTAAGATAAGCAGGTAGAATGCGATAAACAAACATGTGAGAAGCGTTTTCAAAACGCAAACGCAGCGATTAAACTGCCCCAAACGCATCCTTTGTCAACACTCGTACAAGGACAGATATATAGGTTGCATTCACGATCATGAAAACTCTTGCATGCAAATTTTGATTAAAATAAAAAACTAAAATTTGATTGTATTTCATAAAATGGATTTTAAAGTTTTAGCATTTACGATGTAACATTATACTATACAAAACCAGAATTCTACATCAACCCTGCACTGAGGGATATAGCACTAGAAAGCAATCAATCAAATTCAACTTCCAAACACGCTTACAGATAAGTTTTTGCCTGAGTTAGCTAAATGGGAGGAGGTGATGGGCATAGCATTTTATAGAACTGCACGGATTTGTCGTAATAATAAAAAAAGAAACTGTTGCTCTCACCAGAAATAAGAAAAAAAGGCATATGCGAGCACCTCTCCACATAATAAGTTGCCTTGCCAAATGCTGGAGTTAGAAGGCTAAGGCAAAAAAAGACAGCATGGGCCACACCATGGCCTAAACCACCAGCTGTACATAAAAGTAATCTTAGCAGTATAAATTTAGATCTCGAAATTGCAAGCATAAACAATATGCCAAACATTCTGAAATTGTCAAATGCAAACATAATGCTATTCCAGATAGCGAAAGAAAACTTGAAATCATCAAGCAATATGTCAGAAATTACAGAATCAACACCTTATGATTAATGGAACAGACTTCCACCAAATTTCACAAAAAATCTAAATAAAGAAATGCCCATAGAATGTTATATTCACATCCAAATCATTTGCCCAAAAGAAACTTTTAATACGTTAACTCTTTAGCATGCATTGTCCATTTTCTTTTCCTAACAGTATCGACATAACAAAAATGGAAAACCATATTTCTAATTTAACCAAAAATAATCAGCTTAAGATGGAGAGAAAATTGAGCTTATAGTGTAGCATTAACTAAGAAAGACTTCATTTTTTTCCCACCGCAATGCACAACACTTACCTAAACAAAAAATTTAAATAAAAAAAATATATAAATGGATTTTAGATAACACAGAAAATCAAAGTAGAACAACAGCGCTAAAAAAATTCAGTGAAAAATAATACAATGATTCTATTATCATAAGATACGTATGGAAAAAAAACGTTTAAATTCTATTCGTATTCCACGTTAGAGGAAAATTTTAGATGAAAAGATGAGCCAGTCTTGTTGGCGAAGTCAAAAAAATTTTAAGCCAATAGCTTCAGCAAAGTAATCTCCAGGTTCGAGCATGCTATAATATATACTTGTTAAAAAGGTTAAATAAAACAAGCAATTTAATATAGTTGACGTGGGAGCTATCGGGACCCCCCACCCCCCTCTTCCAAGGTCCAGCACACAAGAGACGGACCATGCGGGCATCATCTTCACGTGCCTGGGCCGAACTTGTCTAGGTTCTGTCATAGTGGAGTCTGCCCGTCCACTTAGGCCAATCCTCGCTATCCTACTATTATATATTTGCATTCCTGATATTTTAGGGATAGTTTTTCATGTTTTGTTTAGAACAGTTGTCGGTGTCCATTCTTCTCCCTTCAAGGGTTGTATCCAAGGTGGTGATTATGTTCCTCTATCCCCATCCACATCCTCCCACATTGCTCCCTGCTGCTCCATCCTTGTTTTAGCCGCCTGGAACAGCTGTCCTGTTGTTTCTTCCATAAGTTTTCTATCTTTAAGCCATCGCCAGTGGCTTTTCTGCAGAATGTCTCCACCCAGAACAGCAAGAAGTTGTTGTCACACCCTTTTTTTGCCTTCCCTGCCACCATGCCTCCCCTTCCAACGTGTCGCCGCTTCCGGAACCTGCACCCTACCCCTTCCCAGATACTGTTGCCTTCTGAAATTTGCCTCCCTTGTTGTCGCAACCATTCCAGCCATCTTATTATCCTCCTCCGCCACCAAGCTACTGTCTCAATCGTTCAGTGTGCTGTCCTCGCTGTTCCAGCCACCCAAATCAATCTCCTGTGTAGCCTTGTTGTTGTTCCAACTCCCAACGGGCCTTACCGCAACTCATCCACATTCTAGAAATCTTACCTGCTAAATCAGCCACTTTCCAAGACCCCAACCTACCCATTTCAACCCACATCACCGACCTCCACCACCCTTGGGATACATTTTTGTTGTGTTTGGTTGTTTTCGTTGTTGCATTTCCCTTGCAACTTGAGAGTTGTAACTGCCTAATTGGCTTTGCAGTAATAATATTTGATTTTCCTATCATAATTTGTATTAACTCCGGTATCAATAGTTTTTTAAAGCCTATCAGTTAACGTTGATAAATTAAAATCGTATTGAGTTTATTTTTTATTTTGATTACTTGACTAAAAAATTCATAGGAGAAAAACCTTATTAAGAAAGTTAAATTGTGTCTGCATGCAACTGAATTTACTCATGGTAACATCTTCCAAGAAACATGAAATATACATAAAATATAAAGCTCAATCTTTCTTAAGAAATTTTTGTTGATATCAACAAATTAAATCAAAATAGATTTATTTTTAGCATTACTTCTTGAGTTATAAATTCATAAAAAAAATATTATTGAGAGATTAAAATTTTTCAATATACAAAGGAATTTAGTCATGGTAACATCTCTCAAAAAACTTAAAAATTAAAACGAATCTACATGGTTTTTTCTTTTTTTTTTTTCTTTTTTTACCTTAATTTTTATGATTAAGCTCAAAGATATTTAATTCATTATGTCCGGTTAAATTCCAATATGGATAGCCTATAGAATTGTTTTCCTTTAAGAAGTTAACCATCCATAAAATATACCAATCTTTGATTCAAACAACTTATCATAGGAACACTTTGCAAAACTTTATAAATATTAATTTTTAATTTTTAATTGCCATCTCCCCCTCTAAGAATTATAAATGGTGCATCCATTGAAAAGTAACTTTGTCATTATCCATACAAACATCATGTTTTAATGAACTGCCAATTATTCCTATGTATTACTTAAATGAAATAAATCCACATGCTTTTTATTAGGCATAACAATTATAAGCATATTATAACAGCGAATAGAAGATATATAGAAATACAAGAAGGCAATAGTGTCGTGATCCATTTAAATCCAAAAAGGCCTTCTCAAGAATCTCTGAGAAGTTAGCTGCCAGAAAAATAGAATCAAATAAATTTTTTAGAACAAATTGTGACAAATGCATAAAAATACAACAACAACAAATGCATAAAAATAGAGATCCCAAAAATTTATTGGAACAATCCAACTTGTAATGTATATGATCCGACTCCATAACCATCAACTAATGTCTCGGATACTACTCTTTTTTCACCCGTCCTAGGTTAATATCCTTTAGACATGTCAAACATTTATATCTACTAATTTGATTTTTTTTCATTTGATTATTGGTTTCTGCAACTCCAATATTTTATGGCCATGCAGCTCCTCCGTTCATATTTTTGGCAATACGTTTCTATTCCATAGTCTATCAATCCTAAGATTCTTCTATCTAGTTCGACCCTTCTATTGGATGCCCTAGTTTGCATAAGATTTTGTATTATCTGCTCAAATGACTAATTGCAGTTCCTACAAGTAGTTAATATTTTCTGTGATTAGTTGAACTACATTAGTTGGAATTCTACTCCTGCAGATATGTGTGTTATGCAGATCCAGTGTTCCCTATGCCCAAGTAGTGGGATTTCTTAAGGTTTGTAGCAAGAGTCCACAAGTTGCGAGTTCTTCATTTATCTCTCTAGTAATGACTTCATTGAATTAATTGTTATATTCTTATTTGTCTTCTACTAGGCTAATAAATAGAGCCATTTGAGGTACGTCAAAAAGTTCATAGTGATTAAAATATTGATTTGGACATATAAACCTTTCTACTTTATTACATGAAATTCTTTCTTGTACAAGTGTGAGTGACGCTTCCTCAAATTATTTTTGCCCTTTTCCTTCTTTCATTCTCTCCGTTTTTCTTTTTTGGTTGTCGCTTGAAATGAGATTGATTTTCATTAGATTTGTTATCTTTCGAATTCTTTCTAATACCGGATTTAATCACAAATGACAACGGAAATATGACTTTTATTATTGAACGCAAATAGAGATTATAGCTAAAGACACCCAAAACTAGGAAATAGCAAAAGACGCAATACAAACTCAACTAGTGCTTATGTCAAGCATGGTGGTACTTTAGTTTTAAGAAAAATAGCAAGGATGAAGGGCCGGGTAGTCAGAAGGAAAGAATGGAAGACAGCGGTTGGCTGTCGGATGCTAGAAGGTGGGTAGCAGTAGGGTTATGGTAAGGTGGCTGTGGCAGGGAGATGATGGCAGGGTATTGGAAGGGTTGGGGAGGCTCAAGAGAGCAAGGAAGGTGGCGGGAAAGGGGATACAGCAAGGTGGTAAGTGGCTGGAAGGGATGGCAGCAAGATGAGAGGTGGTTGGGCAATAGGAGGTTGCAGAAAATCAGCAAAAGGGTTGTTTTCCAGCTGACTGCAGCAAACACGCTAAGGGTGGCAGTGAAGGGAAGGCAGTGGGAAGCAGAGAACAATAGATAAACACCACCTAGGATGAATTAAAGCCGGAGAAACTTCTCGCCTTTGGATATAGCCCTATGAGGGAGAATTGGAGATGGGAACAACTGTCTCGACAGAAACAGATAAAAAACTTACTTTCAAACCCTAATAGAACATATATATAGAAAATAATTAAAAAGGAATGAAGGATAATAAGAAAAAAAGCAAAAAAAAAGAGGACTAGTTCGTCTCCCATCTCCTGATTCACGAATTCAAATGGGAGTCGCGGCTCACATCCCGCGTTTGAAGTGGGAGCACTCCCGCGTCATTCTCGAGGGCTTGGGGGAACTTTGACCTCATCCGTCAAAGCTTCTGTCTCCATATAATACGTCAAGCCGGCCACATTGAAGTTGGTGGAGCTCCGAGAAGCACCTAGATCCCACTGGCTATTGCATTAGCCCCCAAAACACTTGAGTTACCCTCACTTCGAGCATACATCAATATCAGTCCAACCTTTTGTGGGCACACTACTGGATTGAACTGAAACTTCATCTCATGTATATTAAGCTGAATATCATCAAAGTAATCCAAGGTTGGCTCAACCTGATCTGAAGTGAGGGCAGCCTAAATCTCCCCGAACGATGGTGGCCATGGCATAAGGTATCAATCATGATGTTCTGAAATGCTCTCTGTAGCGATCGTCCTATGTCTGGAATCGGCACATTGGTCCTATCATCCTCTATCGTCACCAAAATTGATCCCACAAGTGCTTCTGCATCATTTTTTCTCCGTAGGCAAAAGCATATGTAATCTCAGACTCTATCAAAGGTAAGAGAATGATACGCCTTCAATCCTTGGTGACTAAGTAGGTATTGTTATACCCATCATTCTTAGTGCATTGATCAAATTGCAACGGTCTCCCTAGCAACAGGTGGCGGGCAACCATGGGTACCATATTGTACCAAACCTGGTCCTACAGCTAACTTTTAATCAAAAACTACACGAAACACTATCAATGCTAA